ACCCTTAGCTACCTATCGACATACTGATAGAAAGGATCGTTATATGTTAAAAGCTCTTATTTAGTAGGTTGACAATATACCTTATAAGCAATAATCAAATAGTTAAGATAGCATCTACTACTACTCTATCAACTCTAAACTCTTTAAGCAATCTACCTTAACTAAGCTTAGCAGCTAGGACTATCACTCAATAAGATATAGTCAACAAAATAGCTTGACTATAAGCTATAATTATATAACTTTAGAAGAAAGTATCAAAAGAAAGATTAGGCTAAGTAAAGATTAAGAAACCTAACCCTTATAATAGAATGAAAGAAATACTTTAAAGATTCCTAACCTAACTTAGAGTATATATACGATACTATGAAGAAGAACTAACTTATAAGTATAATAAAGTACTATTTACTGCTAATTTGCTTATAGAAGATACTCTTAACTGGTTTAAACCAACATTCTAAAACTATCTTAAAAATGACGAATCAGAAGATAGAGAAAAGGAAACTAAGAAAATCTTCAAAAACTATAATAAGTTTAAAGAAGCCATCAAAGTAGCCTTTGGAGATTTAGATAAGGAACAAACAGCCAAGTAAAAACTTATAACCCTTAGATAGAAAGGATCAGTATTAGAATATATATTAAAATTCCGATAGATTTTATTAAAATTAAACTAGCTAGATAACCCTCTTATGATAACCTTCTATTTAGGACTAAAAGATGATGTTAAGAATAAGTTAGTTAAGCAAGACTAACTAGATGAATTTTCCGATTATATGAAAATGGCTATATAGATCGATAATCGACTATTTAAGAGACGTTTTAAGAAGAAATCTTATAGAAGTTAGACAATCAAGCTAATATATTAAGCTAATAGTAAGAAATAAATGTAATATAATAATAAGCTATGAAGTATAGCTTATAGACATCACTTAAGACTTATAAAAATTGATATATTTTAGAAAAGATAATAAAAGAGAACCTAAGATAAGAAGGATATATAATATTATAACTATAATAAGAAAGGACACTATGCTTAAGAATATAAAGAACCTAAACAACTTATAGAACCTAAACGACAAATAAATATAACATCATATAATATCCTTAGCTAAACATACTGTTACGACAATAAGTATAAAGAATATAAGTTGGATAAGGAGAATACTAGATAGTACCTTAAACCATCAAAGCAATAAAGAACTATCATTATACTATCTTAACATAACCATAAAAAAGTATGATAAACCTATAGTATAAATATAGCTAAAGATAACGAATCAGAAGCTTAATTATAAGATGAGACCTTCAGTATAGAAAGCAGCGTACCGACACTTATAAGAGAAATATCATTCAGGGAAATTACACCTTCACTAGAACCTATAGACGAAGAAATACTACCACTAGCCTATAAGTTATGTTAATATTTGCCTATTTCTATAAGGCTATATATGTAATTAGATTAAGGTTCATACTATATAAAGTAGTATAATAGTAGTACTTTAGTTAGCTAATATTGTTAAGCTACTAAGGACTGCTTTACTACTTAGGTTGGTTATGTTATGTAGCCTATACCTATAGAGATAGGTGAAGAGGTAGGTGGCCTTTTACCTATATAAGGCCACCTTCCCTCCTTCTTTCTTTTCTCACTTACTTCACTTCTATACGTTCTCTATAGATGAGTACTTAACCTTCTATAATACTACTTCTCTTCACCTCCATTATACTTCCGCACCAGTGACCAGTAATACCTCTACTAGCTTGAGAGTCCTTACATGGTAGCACGGCCTAATAGTTGAAGTATTACTTTCACTACTTTATATCTCAACGATTCTTCACTCTATCGTTTCAAAAGCAATATCATTCGAATTCTCCTTCTTTTCTCTTCGTTGAAAAATTCTTCACTTCACTTCATCTGTCCAACAAGGTGGCCAAAGAGGTATCGAATTTACACCGTTGAGAACCTTGGTTTACATCTCTTCAACCTTGGTTATATAAACGTTAGGACCCACTTTAAACCTAAAGTAGATCCCTTATAAACGTTATTCGGACCCACTATTTCTACCGTGGTTCTACTTAAGGATCCACTATAAAAAGTGGAGTTTCAAACTCTATTCAAAAAACCCACTTTTCCGAACCATACACCAATCAAACTCAAATTTCGATTCGAATTCGACTGCACTAGTCCCAATTGGGTATAGTCAATGATCACCTATCAACATATTGACTACGCTATTTCAAACACTAGGGTTAACTTTCCTTAACTTCCTGATATTATACTTGTCTTTTCTCAACCTATGAGAGACTTGTTAAAAGAACAAGATATCACTTGTTTCTTACCTTATGGTTCTTTCCTAAAGGATACTACTACTGAAGTAGAAGATCCTGAAGATTATATACTAAAGTATTACTTTTCAATACTTCTTAAAAACGTTATATACGTTTCAAAGGATCAGTTTGTTTCAGAAGATCTTTCTTTTACTTTTAATAGTAAAGATAATCATCCTTTCATTTTGAAATTCCTTATAAGAGAGTGGCTATAGTCTGAGGAGAAATTCAAAGACTGTATATATATCAAAGACTTAATTATAAGTCTTAATAATAACCTCTTAAGTCAAATACTATAATACTAGTTATATTATACTAGCCATAACGTATTATGACTCCTAAGCCAACTTTTCCACCTCTTAAAGGCTTAAAAGACTATTCATTATGGTCTATAAGAGCTGAATCATATCTCATAAGCCTAGAACTAATAGGTCCTATAATAGACCTTTTCGAAGCTAGAGATTCTTAGAATGAGATTGTTTCAATCTTAAATTTATCTGTCTCTTCAGATCTCGAAATTCGAGCTAAGCTAATTCCAGCTAATAAAGAGCAGAAATATATTAAAGCTTTAGCAACTCTAAGGCTACTAATAGAAGATGGACCTCTTCACTATATTCTGAGAACAAATACCTTTCCAAAAGCTTGGCTACTTTTAAAGAACCAATATGATAGAGA